CGCCGCCACTGGAGACTGTGTACAGGCACAGGAACTGGCTCAGAAGCAGCGTTGGTGATCCGGCCGACCCGCTGGGGAACAGGATCCCGCACAGGTTGCAGGCTGAGAGTGGGCCAGGAAAAGGGTTCCAGTGCTAGGGGGAAGAGTGGATCGGCCAACTGGGCTTTGAGTTAAAAAAAAAATGTTCTGGGCTTCTGCTGGGCTCAGGCGGGTCCCCAAGGGCTGGGACTCAGGAGCAAGGTAGTACACCCCTACCCTGATGGAGGAGTCGAGATCCTGTGGGCAGTAAGCACTGGAGCGGCTCATGTACCACAGGTCTTGTGGTAGCATAGTGTCCCCGGGTGTACCGTCTGACCAGTAAGAGTCTGATAAGGCCTCCTCTCGTAGCTTCCTCACCTGGAGTAGCATGTCCTCAGTCACTGGGAGGTGCGCCAGATGGGTCCGGTTCTGGATCAGGGTTTCCATATGAGCACATAGCTGCAGGTGCACTGCAGGGTCCTGAAGATTGTAAAACCAGTGGCAGAAACTGCTTAATTCCATCCACAACTCCAACACCGCGTCTTTCTCGCTGGCTGAGTTCATTTTGGTTTGTCCTGTCGGAACCGGCGCATAAAGCTGCCGATAATGTTGTGGTGAACTCAATTAAAAAGCCAGACGAGGATACATAAAACAAAACTGCCTCTTTAATAAGAGTACTAACGCTGAACAGAAAAACAAGACAAGACACGGTGTAACACAAAATGCACTTACGGGTTGGTATAACAGTCCAAGGTCAGAGCCAGCAAACACATACAGCAAAGGAATTGTTGGACTAAACCAGTCCTGTGTGTCCTTTTATGAAGAATGCTCAAAGACAAATCTGTCCTTTGAGATATTTATTACAATCAATATTTAAGAAAAAATTTTCAAGAAAAGCAATACAGAGCTCTGGATTCCGTCTCTTTCTGAAGCCCTATCACACAGAAGTATAGTGCATAGCTGCTGCAGGAAGCCGGAACCCCCAGTTTCCTCTGGATAGAGAATTTATAATACAGTCAGGATGGTAGATCTGACGTCATCCGTGCTGTCCTACATCCTAGTTCCTTGATTGGTTTGTTGACCTCGTTCTGTTCTGACCCCTCATTTGGTGATCTTGCCACCAGGCAGATTTTGATCTGTGACACTAAGTACAACATCCTGACCTTTTG